TTTTTAAGTAAACTCTGTTCCCAATGTGGGGCTCACACTCATGACTCCAAAATCAAGAGTCACATGTTCTACTGACTGAGCCAGCCAGGCGCCCCCCTGCTATTTCTATCATTTCTGTCATTTTGAGTCTTTTTCTATAGATTGATTTTTCCCTGGTTATGATTCATATTTTTCTAATTTTTAAATATCTTTAGTAAATTTTAATTAGATGCTGAACAGTATGAAATTTATGTTGTCATTTGCTGGATCTTGTATTCCTTTAAATTGTGTTGGGTTTTTTTGTGGTGCACAGTTATATGGAATCATTTGATTTTGCAAAGCATGCATTTAAGCTTAACTAGGGAGTACAGAAATATTTTTAGTCTAGATTAATTTAATCCCACTCGTAAGGTGATGTTCTTCTTAGGATTCTACTCAAAAACCCATGTATTTATCAGACATTTTCTCTCTAGCTGGTAGGAACATGAATTATTCCTAGCTCTTTGTGATCTCTGAGATCTGTTCTGCCTGCCTTTTTCCAGTGTTTGATTTTGGTGTTCTGTGTTCTTCTGTTTTTGTTTTGGTTTTTTTGGATGGCCTCAGGTAGTTTCAGCTCACTCTTGTGCATGTCAGTGCTTAGTCTAAGACTTGGTGGTTGTCCTCTGCAGTGTGTGTGCTCTCTCTCCCTCTCACTATCTCTGTGAAATTTCCTCCTGTTTGTTTTTCTGCTCTGCAAATTCTAGCAGTGTTGGCCTCTGAACTTTGATCTCTCTCTCCTCAGCATGGTGAGTCGTCTGGATTCTGTTTGAGTTGCCCCTGGTGTGCTGGTGGATATACTATCCTCTATAGTGGCACTCACTTTGACTTTTCCCTCTGAGGATTCACAGTACTGGGCTGCTTGTTGTCCAACATATGAAAACTCTTTTTCCCCGATCTTCTATTTGGTTAAGGTAGGAGAGTAAATCGGGTCTCTCAGTTATTATTAAATTATAGCTTCATATAAAAATCTTCCTAAAGCCTTAAAAATATATGGAATGTTATTGATCAAATGAAACATTAGTCTCAGTTTTCCCTACTTTGTATGTGGAGTTGTCAATTTATAACTGTGGTGACATGAAAATTCACATCATCTTTTCTAATTTCTATATCAGACTTCTATAGCAGTGTCTTATACTGCTTTATGGCCAGAATATATTGAGTGAGCTATATATCTTTAGCAATTTTATAGTCAATGCTTAAGTATTTTTGGTTTTAGAAACAAAGCATTCTTTTTTTTTAATGAAAAGATTGGGTAGGTACAGAAAAAATAAGAGTGAATAAAACACTCTTAACGATGGTCGAGTTTTTTGTTTAAGTAGAACAATAAGATCAGTGATTCAGTTGTTATATAATACAAATACAAGACTGATATAAAGTAGACTCTTAGCTATTATTTTAACACTATGACAGTGGATTGGGTGTTACTATGTCTCTAATATAAAGTAAATTAGTAGTTTAAATAGTTTTTCCCCGTATAAAGTAAGTTTAAATAATTTTGAATTTATTCAAAATCTGGAAAAGTAAAAGTAGGAGTATATTTTATACAATTTCTAGAGTACACATTTCCACATATATAAAAGAAATATTTTCCTGTTACCATTTAAACTTTATTAGAATAATTTATAAGATTTTAAAAATAAGTACTTTAAACCCATTTTTAGATACTTTTTTTAAGATGTCATTTATTTATTTGTTTGACAGAGACCCTGCGAGAGAGGGAACACAAGCAGGGGGAGTGGGAGAGGGAGAAGCAGGCTTCCAGCAGAGCAGGGAGCCCGATGGGGAGCTCAGTCCCAGGACCCTGGGATCATGACCTGAGCCTAAGGCAGGCGCTTAACAACTGAGCCACCCAGGCGTCCCCCATTTTTAGATACTTTTTAAAGTATACTCCATTTTTTTATTAGATAATGCATACATTATATATTTTGGATAGGTGAATTTTGCTACCAAAATGATTAGCCATCATAAACTCAGTTTGACTAACTTGGGTAAATTAAAATCAAAACACTGAATTCATTTAATATTGGACTTAAATAGAGTATTCGTAGGAACAATGATTGCTAACATTTAAAAGATGCTGTGTGTGCTAGGTTGTTAGTACCTTACATATATCCTCATTTTATCTTCACAAATAACCCTGTCAGATTGATACTCTATCATTTCCCAAATTTTATGTATGAGGGCAAGACAACAGAGGTTAAATTATCTGACCAGGGTTATACAGTATGTTTCAGAGTCAGAATCCAAAGCCAGGTGGCTTGGCTTCAGAACCCATCTTAGACCATTCCCCTTTTAAAGCCATCCTTCCTGTTTGGTGCTTCCTTCCTCCTCCTTCTGCCTTAGTGACTTTGGCCCCAAATCAACATCTGGTATTAGCTATCCTTTGGGAGGTATCTGGCATTGGTATAAATTTTTTTTATGTTTTAGAGATTGGTAGAAATGAGCAAGTCCTTAGAAATTGGTAGTAAATTAACTAGTTCCCCCTGGACTTCTAGTCTTCCTGTAAGCAGAAAATTCTGTATTATTTATTGTTCATCCAGAGCTGTTTGTACTGTTCATTAGTTATAGTAAAACTTCCCTATTTGTTCATCTTTTCCCTTTACACTCGGATTCTCTTATACTGCCTAGTGTTCTGCAACAAAAACGTCACTATAAACATAATTATTGGTCTATTTGTTGAATTTCTTTTGTTCTTGAAATACCTTGTTTTTGAAATATGCTTGATCCTCTAATGTGAGAAAACTGACATAAGCTTCTTAAAATTTATGTTTAGAGAATTGATTGATGTTTCATTGCTATCAACTGCAAAATTTCATTTTTATTAGTACATGCTGCCTTAGACACACAGTTAAGCTGTGCATCATCTTCCATTTGATGTCAAATGATACCAAAAGTTACCTAGTAAGCAATCAGTGGTTATAGTACAAAAATAATCAAAGGTTTAGTCAATAACTCATGAAGTTTGATGTACTCGTATTGATAAACTAATTAAACAGATCTGCCTGTGTTCTTCCAGCCTACTGGGGCTCTGCTATGATTAGCTTTACAGCAAGGAGTGTTGTAACATTGAATGAAGGTAACTGATCAGAGAATGGTGTAGTCACGGAGCTTTAAGTACTCCCATTTCTGGTCACAGAATGGTTTCAGGGAAACTAGGCTTTCTCTGCACACCTGCAGCCAGTCAGTGCATAGGCCTCTTGTGGTCAATATTGATTGATTCTTATAACAGAACTAGAACAAATTTGGTGTTTTGCAACGTTCTGTGATTTAATATTGTTATGCTTTTTGCTATAACAGTCACAAAAATCCTTCTCCAATAGTGAGTAATTACAGCAGTGCCTGCTAGCTCAGCTTTGGTTCTGAGTGTTTCAGTGTTGCCAATATAAACCCCTGGATATATTCTGGAGTTCATAATTTAGCTTTAAAAGTTGGCTGTACAGTTACTTGATAAATAAAGGTGTTGCTGAGAAATAAATCACAGGAGGATGATGGGATGGGTGGACTCTAATCCATTTTCTTTCAAAACTTTCCAGAGAACTATAGACTGGATCTGAATATAATTAGTAAGAAGAAAGAATACTTTAAATGATTAATTTTTTTTTTTTTTTTTAGCCCACAAGTTAAAGACTTTGGAGGCAATCTTTGTAATACCTATCATCTCTTCATAATATGTTGGTGTTTTTCTAGGCATCTATTTGTTGAATTATAACCGTTGTGGTAAGTTAGATTCCTGATGTAGCAATCTAATGGGAAATGTCTTAATAAATTTTTTCAGTATACCACTGGGCTGTGATGTTTCATTCAGTGAATTATTGAACTCTTACTATATACCAGGCATGTGATATAGGTCCTGAGAATATACAGATGAATAAGGAATGGTTCCTGTATTTAAGTAACCTCTTATTCATTCTAAGGTGGATTTCAGAAATATCTTATTTAAAAATGCATCTGTGTTTTGTTTTGATTTATTGAAAATGCTATAAATCAGTCAACTAGCAAGTGTTAATTGCTTTTTGGCACTGTTGTAATCTTAGGAACCTAAAAATCTGGTGGTGGGGAAAGCTATCAGTACCTCAGACAATTAGATACATGCTTCTTAAACTGTAATTAAAAACTTTATATTTCCATTTAAATATAATCTAAAACATTGGGAATAATTTGGATCATGTGGTTGCCATCTTATATAGTAGTATCACATAATTATGGAACCTACTTGTATTCTTGTGTAAGCTTGCTTGCTTCCAAGTGAACATTGAAAGGGTTTGTGGACTTTCGGTGGCCTAAGTGGGTTGATACCGTCTGTAGTTATGTGATCACTTGGGTGAGACTGCTGTTGACTGATTGGCACTCTGAGGTGTGTGTGTGTTTGTTTTGTTTTTTGGAGTGAGTTTGTTCCTGATAGATTGATGTTTCAAAGTGAAGGACTGTCACAGATTGGTTGATTGGCAAAAGCTTGTTCACTTAGCTTGAGTTTTTGTTGACCTATTGGAGAGGTTTAAAACAGTTTTAGTGGCTCTTTCTTATCAATGCTACAGAAATAGCTGTCTTTGTGGAAACGTAGGAACTTAAAAATATTTTCAGTTTGAGATTTTGTTTTAATCATAAAGAAGTTTCAAATACTTTTATAATGAGAGAAAATACTATTATTTTATAGTAGAGGACATTTGGAAAGATGAGATTCACCCCAAAGTAAAAATATCTTTATTGTTTTATCTGAACAGAAAATTAATATTCATTGTAAAAAAATTAAATAATAAAGATGTAAAGAGTGAAGGTCACTGGTTAATACTACCTCAGATATAGTCACTGTTAACATTTTACTATATAGATTTCTTAGGCTTAATTTTGAATGCTAGTTCTTCATTTAGTACATGTGCTGTCTTGGTCAAGTTACTGAACCTCTCTGTGCTTCAGTTTCTTCATGTGTAAAATAGGAGTAATAGTACCTGTTCATTGAATTGTGAATTGAATGAATTAATTTACCCACCTTGCCTGCGCCTGCCCCAAGCCAGCGGTTCTCCACTCCCCCGCATCCAGTGAGACGCACAGCGTACCGACGCCGACCGAGCGGACACGGGCAGAGCGATGGTGGCCAGGCTCGGACTGGGGTTGCTGCTTCTGGCGCTGCTCCTACCCACGCAGATTTATTCAAATCAAACAGCTCTTGTAACACTTTCAAGTAACTTCTCCCATAGTACCTCGACTGCCCCAAATCCAGCTAATGCCACCACCACACCAACTGGCGGTGCTCTGCAGTCAACAGCCAGTCTCTTCGTGATCTCGTTCTCCCTTCTACATCTCTACTGTTAAAAGACTCGGGCCAAGAAACATCTATACTTCCCCATCTTCTAAACCCAATCCCAGTGGCGTCTAGACATCCAGTGTGACAAGGAAAAAAACAGGTCTTCATTGAATCTGCTAATTCCACACCTTATTTTATTGACAGAAAATGTTGAGGATCCCAAATTTGATTGGTTTGAAGAACATGTGAAGGGTTTGGCTAGATGATGAATGTCTATTAAATCTACTGGAGTTTCCTGTACAAGATGAAGCGACAACATCCAAGATTAGTCAAGAGATCATTTCTTTAAATGTGGCTTAAAAGTATGGACATGTAAAATTTCACCTTGAAAATGAGAATAGATTTTATCTTACCTTGATATAAAAGATGGGATGTGAACAGATTCAGTTTTCATTTGGTTCATTAAATCTTTAAGGCCGTAAAACAGTTAATACAAAAAGTTTCCATGATTCTATTTATATGTACATTAGAAGGAACTTCCAGGTGTTACTGTAAATCCTCAATGCATTGTTTCAGCAGTACTAACTTAATGCCTGTATACTCTAGATGAAAGTTTTATCTTGTTAAGCTATCACTGTTTCTTGGGAACTGAACTCTTTCCTCTGAGGCTCTGGATTTGACATTGCATTTGATTTTTTTATATAGTAATTGACATATGCCAGGGCAATGATGGATTGGAATCTACCCCCGATTGAAGCATAATGAGTAAATTTTGCTTATATACCGATCACTTATTCCTATTCAACAAGCGTGCCAGATTCATTTAGCTAAACTGATTCCAAAGAGTAGAAGAACATTGACTTCAACTAATTTCAAAATGCTTTTTATTTCTGCATATGTTGAATACTTTTTATAATTTAAAAAAATCTGTTTTGAAGGTAAAATTGACAAATCTTGAAATTAAAAAGGCAAAATATGTGCAGGAGCCAAAATTGTAAATCAGGTATTTGGGAAGTGAAGACTGGAAGCTTACATTAAATTCAGAAAAACTTTTAAACTCTTTCTGTAAATACCTTTTTTTTTTTTTTTTGACTCTGAATCAGAATAGCCACATTTGGAACACTTTCTGTTAGTCAGTATTTTTAGATAGTTAGAACCTGGTCCTAAGCCTAAAGTGGGCTTGATTCTGGGAAGTAAATCTTTTTACAACTGCCTTGATGCACAGAAAGTTTATGAAAATAGATACTCTGAGGTGTTTTGTTCGCATGGTCACACACTGATTCTTAGATATTCCAGTATCTAATATGGCCACAGTAGTCTGGATAACCAAAGTCATTTTTTCCCATCTTTAGGAACCTACACCAGAACAACCACATCCAACAGATCTCAAGCAAAATGGAATGAACATTCCATTTTGTTTCATACCTGAATGTACATCTATTTTGGATTATATTTTGGATTATATGTTTGTGTATTTATGTTTTGATTCATAGTAACTTCTCATGTTATGGAATTGATTTGCATTGAACACAAACTGTAAATAAAAAGAAATGGCTGAAAGAACAATCTAAAAAAATAAAATGAATTAATTTAAGTAAAACATTGAGACTAGCACCTGGCATATAGTTAGTGCTGTGTCAAAGGAAATTGGAGGATGAGGGAAGGAAGACCATGGCAGTTTATCTTTTAAAAAGTTCAGATTGGTTAGTAGGACATAAAACATGGCCTGGTGTAGCACTCTTTCCTTTCCAGCGTCAGTTTCACCTATTTCCAACTACTTCCCCTCATTTCCTGTGCTCTTTGAACATTCCATAAACTTTCAGATCTGTACTCTGCTGATATATAAGATACTTGAGAAGGAAGAAACAGGCTGTGAACAGTGTCAGAAAGAAGCAGTTGTTGAATTTCAACTCAAATTCTAATTTTTATTTAATTTTTCCGTTCATCATAATTCTGTTATAGACTTAGTGATTAAATTGCCATTTAAAACAGTTTCAGAAGACACTTCCAGTCTTTTGGAATTTTTATTACATTAAATTGGTATTATTGTCATACCTTATTCTTACTGAGCTGAAAATATCATATAATGTATATTGGAATGTGAATATTCCCATATGGTCAGGGTTGGGGCTCCAGCACCTTTTGATTGATGAAGAAACATAAGTTCAAATACTGTGTAGTTAGTGGACAGAACCCAAGATCTTTATAGTTATTTGTATCCCTCATTTTGAAAATGTTTTTACGATTCAGCTAATATTTTAATATTCTTGTTTGAGTTTTGCTCAGGGGTTTTTTATTTCCTTCAAGAGAAAGTGTTACCAGACAGAACTGGTTATGAACTCAGGTTCACCTGCTTGCTGCTTGAAAATCAATAGACAGGTGATGGTGGGAAATGAAAGGTTGCTTTATTCAGGAAGCTGGCAGCCTGGGAAGGTGGTGGACTAATGTTCCAAAGACCATCTTCCCTGTCCAGGCAAAGCCAGAAGGTATTTTAAAGGGGAAGATTTAAATGGGGCTAGGGGGGCGCCTGGGTGGCTCAGTTGGTTAAGCGACTGCCTTCGGCTCAGGTCATGATCCTGGAGTCCCAGGATCGAGTCCCACATCGGGCTCCCTGCTGAGCGGGGAGTCTGCTTCTCCCTCTGAACCTCTTCCCTCTCATGCTATCTCTCATTCTCTCTCTCTCAAATAAATAAATAAAAATCTTTAAAAAAAAAAAATGGGGCTAGGGGTGGCTACCTGCAGGAGAAGGTGGTGCCCAGGCAAATAGTCATATGTTGGCATGGCCCTGAACATACTTGCTGGCATCAGCAGCAGCTGTGTTCCAATGTGGTGAGGACTTCTCCTCTGGGGAAGTCTGGTCCTTTACTCCTTAAGGCTGGTGGTCTGCAGTTCTCAAGGAAAGTAGGTTAGTTCATCTACAGACCAAGGGACTTAGGTCAGCAAACAAGGAGTGCATTAGCTTGAAGCAAGTTAACCCTTAAGACCTTTTGGAGTGTTGTTACAGAACACCTTGATAGGATGTTGCTATTATAGATTAGGTTATTAAAATGCTTATTTTACAAGCTTTTTTTGTTGCCATTCATTATCCTACAATATATTATCTTTATGTTACAATATAAGCTATTCAGTTATTTACTTCAGGAAAATTGAGAATGGATTTGGTATACAAAACATTGATTTTTTAATTTTAGCTAGGATTAAATGATTTTATTTTTTTAACAGATCAAGAAGTTAGTATATGTTTACCTGGTCCGGTATGCTGAAGAACAGCAGGATCTGGCGCTCTTGTCCATAAGCACTTTCCAGCGAGCTCTGAAGGTAAATAATAGAGTGAGCCAGCAAATAGCTTCAAGGTTGGTGCAAAGTTGAAGGTGTGTGATTTAAAGAACTGGAGCAATAATCTAAATGGCACAGTAGTGTTTTGAAAGAGTTGAAAAGCCTCTCACATTGCCTATTCAGTGTCCATAGAAAATAATATCTATGACCAACTAGACCTTTCCCAGTGTGTTTCATTTTCTGTAGGTTCCTTTATATTTTATTTAATCATTATCATGCATCAAAGAACTCTTCATCATTATACCAACTGGTGGTTGAAAGTGTGTAATGAGGGGACACGACTTTTTAAAGATAAAATTTCTAACTTGTAGCATTTTATCATTGTAAAACTCTAAAAACCCAACATGTTTAGTAATGAATGATCAGCTAGAATTATTACCATTACTTTTCTTGTTCAAACATTATTCAGAGAAATAAACATTTATTTAACTGTTTTTCCTTACCCATTTCCATATACTAATTCTTTAAGTAGCTTTTTTCTATTGTTATATTGTACTCTGTGAGCACCAATTAACTGTGTCATAAAGATACTGTTGAAATGTTAAACCTGAAATTTTGATGAATATTTTTGCACTATTTTTAGGACCCAAATCAACTAATCCGTGCAAGTGCTTTGAGAGTTCTGTCAAGTATTAGAGTACCAATTATTGTACCTATTATGATGCTTGCTATTAAGGAGGCTTCAGCTGATTTATCACCATATGTTAGGAAGAATGCAGCCCATGCAATACAGAAATTATACAGGTAGGTGCTTTATTAATAATACCAGTGACCTCTAATGGTACGTGGAATGTTACATCCCATGGAGGCTTATTTGATTAGCTCTTACAGTTGGTCTGTCCTTATACTAAGTAAACCCAGTGATGGTTTTTCTCCCCACAAACATTCTTTAGATATCTTTAACTTTATTTTGGCTATAGAGACCCTATGCTAGTTTTTACTTGTGAGCCTGTTAGGGCCTGTGATAATTTTATAGAGTTTATAACTTAAAAATGAATGGAATTTGAATTCTCATTTATATAGTGTATCTCTCATGTACATATACATGTATATTATTATTATTTTTTTATTATTTTATTTATTTATTTTAGAGAGAGAATGAGAGATAGAGAGCACGAGAGGGAAGAGGGTCAGAGGGAGAAGCAGACTCCCTGCTGAGCAGGGAGCCCGATGCGGGACTCGATCCCGGGACTCCAGGATCATGACCTGAGCCGAAGGCAGTTGTTTAACCAACTGAGCCATCCAGGCGCCCTATACATGTGTATTATTAGAAAATTAAGACTTTTTTCTGTTTATTGTGGGGTAGAATCTTAGGTGTATTATCCTCTTGATTCACTTTGTTTTTTTTTTTTAAATTTCTTAAACATTTTTTATTTCTTTTTTAAATTTCTTTTATTTATTATTTAAATTCAATTACTTAACATATAATGTATTATTATTTTCAGATGTAGAGGTCAGTGATTCATCAGTCTTACATAATACCCAGTGTTCATGATTACATCATGTGTCCTCCTTAATGTCCATCACCCAGTTACCCCATCCCTCCACCCATTCCCCTCCAGCAACCCTGAGTTTCCTATGATTAAGAGTCTCTTATGGTTTGTCTCCCTCTCTGGTTTCATCTTGTTTTATTTTTCCCTCTCTTCCCCTGTGATCCTCTATTTTATTTCTTAAATACCACGTATGAGTAAAATCATATGATAATTCTCTTTCTCTGATTGACTTACTTTGCTTAGCATAATACCCTCTAGTTCCATCCACGTCATTACAAATGGCAAGATTTCATTTTTTTGATGGCTGGGTAGTATTCCGTTGTGTGTGTGTGTGTGTGTGTATCCCACATCTTTATCCATTTATCTATCGATAGACATCTGGGCTCTTTCCATTGTTTGGCTATTGTGGACATTGCTGCTATAAACATTGGGGTGCAGGTGCCCCTTTGGATCACTACATTTGTATCTCTGTGTCTATCAACTCACTTTGTTCTCCTTTCTTCCATCTTTGGCCCTGATGTTCCCTTCCTTGTCTGATTCTTTTATAGAGCTATTTTATTGAATTTTAAAATGCTAATTTTGAAATGCAGCCCCATACTGTATTTATATGATATTTATTAAATATCATACAGTGCCTTAATCCTTGTGGAAAACATATTGTCTAAATAAAAGAGTTATTATCTATAGTAATTTGGTATTATTTTCTGTTAGCATTGATTCCACAAGCTTTTATCAAGATCATTTTGTGTTTTGGTGTTGGGTTATATGTGTAAGATATATGAAAATGGTAGAAGATGTATTATCACTATTTAGGAAAAAAATCAAACCAGTGACAATTAATTAAAGGCAATCTATAATTAAATAAGATATTAGCATATGATATATATGTATATAGAAAGGCATACTAACCATGACTTTGATAGGATATGACTCGGAGATTGTCATATAGAGCTTCATAATGTAAAGATGTAATGAAGTGGGATTAGTTCGGAAAGACTGCTTGGAGAAGGACGACTGGAGCTAGAATTTGAAAGAATTACAAAGTTTGTTCAAATAATTATAATGGTTAGTAATAAACTTACGTAAGTGTGTAAAAAGTAAAAATTCATTTTCTAGGTTAACTGTCAGACAAAGTTAT